AGTGTATCTCAGGAATTTGGAGTTCACTTGAATGCGGATCTATGAGAAGCATTTGCTGAATTTTTTTGAATCTTTTGGGCTCCGAATTTTTCAGCGTACTTTTCCCGACTCAGGAAACAGAATATATGATCGATTCAAAATGAACTTACTGTTGCGTCGTAGAGATGGTGAAAAAAAAGATAAGAAAATGCGGAAATATGCGAAGCACAGCCGTTCGTAGTAGGCAAATGAATAGTTAAAGTCATATTAGTACTCATTTCATTGCAGGTGCCAGGAGCATGGGCCACAATGAACGGCGAGAGAGTCACTATGTTCGGAAGCAAAATGTGGCGTAGCAAAGTTCCACCACCAGACTCCCGTGAAGTGGAAGTCTCCGAGATACCCGGTGGCAAGGTCTACGTTCACGAGGCTGGGCTCTTGTTGCCAGGAAGCGATGGCCGTTGGGTAAGTAAGTTCGAGAAATCTCGGAAACACCGGCTGTGGTCAGTAGTTGCACGTCTACCCATTCCCTTATGGTTAGAGTACACCCATGTTGTTTATGTTGTTTAGTTGTGAATACCAACAACAATGTGGTAAATATCACAAAAAGAAGAAAAAGCAAAAAAAGCCCCAGAAGCTCCATATAGAGCTCCGTGCTCAACCGAGCTCGGGCGTTTATAAGGCGAGAAAGGGTGTGGTCAAGACCAAGTTACCAATTCAGGTCACTGTTGACACGATCAAAGTCGGATCGAAAACGATGCCAGCCCATAAATACGGTCTGGAAGAAGAGCAAGGCGAGAAGCTGGTTTACACAGAAGAAGAAAAGAAAATCGTCGAGATTGTCAAGGTCAGTTCTCATCGAAATAAAAGCTCTTCAAAGCTCCCAAGTATGGACCGCGAAATAAATAATTTCATTGCTTGTTGCAGAAAATCTGGGAATCGATCCTGAAGCAGCCGGTGTCAGAAGAGACGGACTTCTTCGAATCAGGTGGAAGTTCAGCCGACGTTACTCGTCTCTGCGAAGAAGTCAAATTCCATACAAAAGCCGAACTTGAGAACACAGACGTGAGTTTGCGACTACTTTTTACCATTGTATGTTGGCTTGAACGGCCGCTATTTCAGTTTCTAGAGTCTTCGTCCCTCATATAGGGACATATGAATGCATGGCGCATTCCAGAATAATGAAGAATGCCTTTTTCTGCATCTGCTGGGATTTAGGTTTATATGGCCCCGACATTCGGAGAAAGCGTTGACTCTGTGATCAAGAAACTTCGTGGAGGCGACAACATTACCGTCACATATGACCCGGTGAGTTAGAGAGCAATGCAGTGCTGAAGATCAGCTGCAACGTATGTTCACTCACGGGTTCGATCCCTCGCCAAACCTACAACGACGTGTTTTCCAGATTGTGATGAACGTAAACGGTATGGAGCTCAAGTTCCCCCATGAAATGTTCATTAATGGAAAGTTCGTGCAATCGGCAAGTGGAAGGTATTGTTCATTGATTGATCAGCTGATTGCGGTACTTTGAAATTTTCTTACCGTATGTCACAGGCTGTACGACACTATCAACCCTAATGACGAGTCAGTGATTTGTAAGGTTCCGAAAGCAGACGTCAACGACTTGAACAAAGCGGTCGCTGCAGCCAAAGCGGTAAGTTCCCTGGGTTCCCGTTAAGTGTTGAAAGGTAGCCTAGCAATCAGAAACTTCCTCTTCTACTATTCATTTGGAGCGATGCCTGGCCGAGTAGCGGAATTCTATTTAAGATCTGCACAATAGACTAGCGGGTTAGGAGTTCTTTCGCCTAAGGGCTCAATAGATTAGCCTCGGAGAGGTGTCAAATAGGGCCAGTGCGGGAATGTGTCAAGACAATCGAAATATGCCCCGATGGCGAGCGATGCCGCACCCGGATAAACGAGTTGTCGTGCATGGCCGTTTGAACTTGAGCCTCAAAGAGGCGGGGAAATTCGATATGGCCCGTCAGAGTCTCGTTTGAGCTTCAGTTCATAAGTTCCACTGGTTCATTCGGCAAATCGGTAAATTT